AGAATAGATTCAAACAAAACATAATTTACAAAAAGATTCTAACTAGGCATTTAGTTAAAACATGTGTCCTTTTATTATAAAAAACACACTTGCTTGAAATGTTTTTATCTCTGTTTTGCTGCAGTTTAAAGATTTGAAAGTCAACTTTGGCATCAAATTATTTCATAGAATAAGAAATTCCTTTTATCAGGTTTACAGGTGTCAGGTTCAAAAGTGGAGCGGTTGGCAGCAAGCAGACACAAGAGGCAAGTTTACAAAAAGTAATCATTGTTTACAGTGTCAGGGGAAACAGGATCCAGATCTGGAAGAGAAGGTGGTAAGTACTCGCAGGTAAGTTATGCGAGTTCAAGGTAGTATGCAGGTGAGTATTTATCCTGAGGTTCATGGGTGAAAAGCAGCACAGAGGAGAGGGCATGGATCCACAGGTGAGTGTGAGCAGGGTGGCTGGCAGACAGGACAACTGAGCAGGTGAGGATTACCAGGAGGGTGAGAGGCAGAGATCAGGTGAGTGAGCTTAATCAGTGGAGTCCACAACAGGCAGCACAGGATCGTCTGGTAAGTTCACAGGTAAACTGAACACACAGAATCAACCAGGTAAGTATAACTCAGGTATGTTAGCTTTAATAGCATGGAGAGAAATACCATTAGATATGTGTTGCTCCAGCGAGGATCAGTCCTTCACAAAGCTCATTATCAGGATCTGCAGCTGCTGCACTCAGTCCAACTGCCGGCCAATCAGGAAGGAGCAGAAGAAACAGGTAAAAGCTCACAGATCGACACACCTTTTGAGCCAAAAAARTTTGTTCAAATAAAATCACTTTTGCACTTTATTACATTTAAGCTTAAAATGAATTTTAACCGTTTTGATGACTGAAAGCTTTCCAAAAGTGTCGACCTGAGACTAAAACGTCTCCCATCACAGAACATTATTTCAGCAGTGACTGTTTTAGACAAAACACTGGTGTAAAAATGACAAGCAAAACCTCAAAACACCTCCTGATCCAAACATTTTCTTCCACAGGTGTGATTGATTAGACTGATAACAGCCATGAATTTCTTAGGAATAAATCGCTCAACCCAAAGAAAGTTTCACTTGATTTATCCAGTGGTGCTGTGATTAATGGACTCACAGCATTCAATGAAGCCGAATGAAATTAGAATTTGAAATTTGGTTTAATTTAAATAAAATGTGAATGGAGAACCGATTCCAGATTCATATTATACAGCACTGTGCTGTGGTAGTCAATACACGGATAAAACATGAATCAGATTAAGTGAAGCTGAATAAGAGTTTACTGCCTTTTGCATTTTGATTTCTACCTATAGATGCATGAGACAGTAACATATGTCAAAAAGAGTTTCAGCTTTCCAAACAAAACAAGAAACTGTCAAATTTGTCTCAGCATCGTGTTCGAAGAACAAGGCCATGAATGATGGCTGAGAAGGATMACCAAGGTTGTAGAGAAGTCTGGCGTCCATGGTTTGATTTACGCTGTCTAGAAATCTAAAAACATGACTTGTGTGCAAATAAAACACCTCTGCGTGTGGAGGTTTGATGCAGTCAGTGGGTTTATCAGCTGGATTGTCTCAAGTTAAAGGTGCATACAGGATTTCCTTTATTTTGATATTAAAATAATGCATGTTTCATACATGAATGCTTGATTTTCTCCCGTCTTATTTATTTTCATTTTCATGTGTGGAATATGAGTTTTATTATTGATTTTAGGTGTGCATTTTATTTGTAGGCCTATCAATAGTTTTAGAGCTTTAATTTTTTCAAAGCCTATGTCAGCAGAGGTGTAAAGGTAACTAAGTACAAATATCTTGTTACTTAAGTAGACATTTTGGTTATCTAGTAATTGTTTTTAGCCAAATTTTTATTTTACTTCTTACATTTTCATGCAATTATTTTACTCCTTACATTTAAAAAACATGCTATAAGTAGAAAGTCATTACTCCTGCTTCATGTTGGCTTGTTTTCATTTTGACTTTCTGACAGATTGAATTTAATTGTGATTGGATGAGAAATATAAATATATACCATTATGACACTATTGGCTTGTACAGTCCATCACACCTACACATGACACAAATTTCGTCACACCCCAAAATGTGTGTAGCTCGCAGCAGCTGAAACAGGAAGTCTAATGTATCCTAAATTATTCATTTTTAATATAACATTATAATCATTGTGGATTTTAGGAAAATGTTTTTTTTTTGGGCATGTTGTCTCCCACAAAAGGTCATTTCAGAAAAAAAATTGCTACTAAATACTTTTACTGTTTATGGAAGCCCATTTCTGCCACCCTGATAAAAAAATAAATAAAACTTGTATCTCATAATTATGACTTAGTTATCTCATAATTATGAGATAAGTCATAATGAGATAGTATGTCATAATTATGAGATTTCATAATTATGACTTAGCTATCTCATAATTATGACTTAGTTATCTCATAATTATGAGATAAGTCATAATGAGATAGTATGTCATAATTATGAGATTTCATAATTATGACTTAGCTATCTCATAATTATGACTTAGTTAAGTCATAATTATGAAATC